AGAAGAGATGGCTGGGCACACGGGGATGGGGGGTTGGTTCCGAGGCAGAGGGCAGATTATTGGCTCTCACCTGTATCACTATCCACCACAGAGGCTTTGTCAAACCCCTCAAAGTCCATATCCTCACTATCACTGACTTGGGCTGGCTGTGGTGGGTGAAGAGCTCGGTAATGTTTTGTTGACTGGGCGACCTAGCACTCACCCTGCCCGCGCCGCTTCTCGCGTAAGTGATGGAATGTACCGCGTAACTAATAATTGCCGGTCTGGCCAGGTGCCGCGTAAAGGAAATCTGTGTAAACCGAGACTATACTGTATATATACAGTGATCCCTTGATTAATGAACGCCTCGATTAACGAAATTTCGGTTAACGAATTACCTTCCATAAGATTCTTCACTTCGGTTAATGAAAAAATTTCGGTTAACGAATTCCTTTCGAATTTTTGACAACATGTTTTCGCCTGCTTTTGCCTGTTCACCAGCTGTAGTATTAGTCCGCCAATACAGTAATCGGTTTTAGGGCTTAAATTTGTTACCATTTCAGTAAATATCAGGAAGGTTGTACTATTCAATAATTTTCCAAGTCTTATATTAAAGTTTTTAGTCATTCTAACAATTATTTATCATAATTGAAGTACAGGGAACTAGTTTTTACCTAGCCAAACAGCCGCTTGACTTCCCCAGAATGGCTTCAGTTTGTGTCTCTGCTCAGTAGAGGTAACATATTGCTTGAGACTCTCTTGAACATAAACTATTTTTACAGTACAGTACAATTATTGGTCATTCTGAAGTTTATTTTACATATTGACAATATATAATGCAATGGAGTGTTGATGTAAAGAAAATAATCTTGAATTACACCTTCTCCTCCACCTCCATTCTAATTCCCATCATCATCATCATCAACCAGGAGCCTTCTACATGCACACCTCAATGTAAGTGTACTTTACTGCATTTATTTTTAGTTTGTATGTAATTTTCGGTGAGCTGGAACCAATTACCCTAAATCCCATTGAAACAATGGTTTTGGTTAACGAAATTTTCGGTTAACGAACGACCTTCTGGAACGAATTGTGTTCGTTAACCGAGGGACCACTGGTACAGTTAAAATCTCAATAAATCGGACTTCAGTATTTCGGAATTCGCTTTTTTCGGAATCTGAGTTGCTCTGGTCACCAGAAATACAAAATAATTATAATAATAATAACAATAAGAAATGGGGAAGATTAGTAAATAAATCTTATGAAATGAACCACACTTACTGAATACTATACAGTGGTCTTAATCAGATTTGCTATAGGCCTACTGAGAACTAAGACACTTGAGTATGTAAGCAGGCTGGGGGTTATCAGGTGTTGCTGCATTCGTCAGGTTTATTTATTTATTGATTCAGTATTATATTCTCATATGATTGGCCCTTTATGGTTTATGGTTCATCATGATTAATAAAACATCTTCAGTAATAGAAAAAAAAGCTTTTTTTTTTCTAAGAAACAGTTTTGTGATAAAGTCCAGAATGCGACGTCTAGCTTTGTACCTACGTCTCTAAATGCAATACAGCACTGTATGTAATTTTCATATGACTTGAAAATAAAAGGATAAGCTGTATGAGAAGGATATTTATTCAAGATGCATTCCTGTTAGAACTTTCAGCAGACCAGCTTACAACAGGGGTCACAATAATACACTATAGTATTTGATATGAAGATACCTTATTTAAAACTTTATTTACTATCTTTGGTTGTTATATGATGGCTCAGTTTGGCTACTTGTACACCTCTGCTAGCTGCTCCAAGATAAACACTCATCTTCCACATACAATATACTCCTACACGTATTTGTTTTTATTTTTATCTTTATAGTACTGTACAGTATACAGTTTTTTCTTTATTCATAAGACAAATTCTGTGGTTACTTACATATAACACTTGACAGTAAATAACAATCATATCGGTGAAAACAGTTGGTGACAACCAGACTTATGTCTGATTTTCAACCCATAGAGTAGTTTTATACTTTTTTATTGTTGATGTAATATTCTTATAATAACCTTGTTATGCATTTAAAGACCTTAGATGTTGAAGTGCAGTAATATCATAACATAAAAACTGATTTTCTTTAAACACTTCAGATAAGCAGTGTTATTTCCAACACCCCCTCCCCATATACAGTCAACCCTCGCTTTACGCGGTCCCACTTTACGCGTTTCCACGTTTATGCGGTACCCTGCCGAACACGGAATGCTCACTTTCCGCGGTGCGTGTACCCCTTTACGCGGAGAGCGGCTGGCGGTCTTCTCGCGCCGCGCCATTTTTGGATCCAAACCTCCCGCCCTCTCCCGCCATCCGCCATGTTGTGTAAGCGGCGCGAGTAGGTTGCGCAGTGTATGTCTTTGTTGCGTTATCGGTGACGTCATATGACGTAGCGGACTGTCATTGGGCAAAGCATCCTTACCTCCCTCCCTGCTAGCTGTGATTGGTTTAATGTAGTACTATGACGTGCCCCGCCGAAGGAGCGTTCAAGCCCCTTGACCTACCGCGTCAGTTACACCCCGCCCGGCTACACCGTGTATATCGGTATCCATTGTTCCATAAGAATGGCTTCCACCGGACCACCACCACCACCACAAAGAAACCTTGCATTACCTGGACCCAGCCGCCCTAAGCCAAAGAAGACATGACGTTCCTTAAGCTACGAAATCAAATATAAGATCATACAAGAGTTGGAGAAAGGAACAAGACAGGTTGATCTCGCGCGCCAGCATGGTGTTAACGAATCAACTATCAGGACAATTAAGAAGGATGCAGCCAAGATAAAGGAGCACATGAACATCACAAAGTCTACAGGTGCTTCTATGATCAATTATTTCCACAACCAGGTGCTTCTCAAGACGGAAAAATTACTTGTGAGCTACTTGGTGCGTCAGGCGCGACGGAACATGGCGGTGGACACGCGCTCAGTTAAGGAGTACGCACATGAACTGTATGCTGCAGTGTCACGAAAGATGGGAATTACAGAGCCCAAACCCTTTAATGCTTCCTCTGGGTGGTTACAGAGGTTTAAGAAGAGGAACAAGATCACCAATATCAACATTGGTGGTGAAGAAGCTAGTGCTGACCGTGTTGCGGCTAGGGAATTTCCTCCATTTTTACGTGAGATTATGGAGGAAGGACAGTACACCGACGACCAGGTGTTTAACATGGACGAATCTGGTCTTTTTTGGAAAAAGCTACCTTCCAAGACCTTCGTTGTGAAGAATGCCAGCAAGTGTCGGGGCCGGAAGTTGCAGAAGGAGAGCATCACCCTCCTGTTTACCACCAATGCCTCTGGTACCTGTAAGCTCAAGTTATTGGTGATCCACACAGCACGCAAGCCGCACACCTACAAGAGCATGGACATAACCAAGCTAACTGTCCACTGGCTGACCGCACGTAAGGCGTGGATGTTCTCTACACTGTCCCTCTCCTGGTTTGATGACTGTTTCGTTCCCGATGTGAAGAAATTCTGTGAGCAACAGAATGTGCCATTCAAGATTTTGTTGCTGCTTGACAACGCACCAGGACACTTGCCCCTACTGTTAGATCGTCACCCCAACGTAAAAGTGGTCTTCCTTCCTCCCAACACTACGTCTATAATACAGCCCATGGACCAAGAATTGATCTGTAATGTAAAAGCTGCATTCTCTGCTAAAAAATTCAACCTCCTGAGCGACTACACCAACACCAAGGAAGAGTTGCGTACCCTGAGTGACACCAACACCGATAGCAAGAGCGAAGACGACGAGAATCAACAGTTGGCAGAGCAAGAAGTACTTTTTAAACAATTCTGGAGAACATTCAACGTCAAGAAAGCTGTGGACTTCTTGGTGGAGGCATGGGATCAGCTGTCTGTAGCAACTGTTCGTCACGCATGGAGACATGTGTTGCAAGGCATTCCGGGTGTTAGGCAGAGTAAATCTGTGACTGGTGAGGTTCAGACTGTTGCAGTAGCAGTGGACCTTGCCAGAGAAGCTGCGCAGAGTGTTACAGCTGCAGGCTCTTCCGCGACCACCAACGACGACATCCTGGAGGTGGTAAGGGATCCTGATGTGACTACCGACGAGATAGTAGATGATGATGACGTCAGTGAAGAGGCAGGTGGTGCGTCCTCCCAAGAAGAACGCCGCTTATCCCATAGTAATGTAAGGGGTGCCATCGAATGTATCGAGAAAGTCAAGCTCCTCCTTTCCGACGACCCTGGCGCAAACAGGTTTGAAATCTTCACTACCCAGCTGTTGCAGACTATGGAGCCCTACATCAAGGTTTATCACGACAACATAAACACCAGCCGTCAGCAAAGCATAACAGAGTTCTTCGCCCGCAACCCACCACAGCCAGCCCAAGCCAGTGATAGTGACAGAGGCAGAGACAGTGATGATGACTTTGAGGGATTTGTCAGGGAGGCACTAGTAAGTGTGGATGACACCGATGAAGACTCACCTGAGGGCCAGTAGCCTGCCCTCTGCCTCGGAACCAGCCTCCATTCCCCTACGCCGACCCATCTCTTCTTCTAATGTAAGTGTTAACCCCAACCTTGTTTTTTTCTAACCTACCCTTCAGTTTATTATTCTCTTATTGATTGTTCCCTTCTATATTATGTGTGGGTGAATACCATCTTAAAGTTAAGATGTTATTTTTAGTAAAACGTACGTATTGTGTCGGGAAAAAGTGGAGTTTGGGGGTCGGCCCGGTTTCTATTTCAATTAATCCCATATGTTATGTTGTTCACTTTACGCGTTTCTCACTTTACGCGGGCCGCCGTGGGTTCAATTAACCGCATAAAGTGAGGGTTCACTGTACTGTATTCACTTTTTTCTGACTTTTGCATTTTACTGTCTAGTGTCTGCCCTAATTAGTCCAATTTATCGAGTTTCTATTGTGTATATATATATAACATCTTATTTCTGAATGAATCATTTGAATGTGAAGTTAAAAAAAAATTAATGTGTTCCTTGTTTCCACAGTGCTCTCAACTGAAGATTGCCACATCTATATTAATGTGTTAGATGAAAATGACAACGGTCCAGAAAATTTTTCTTGGAGCCCAGAAGATGATCCTCTTGTTGTGGCCGAGTCTTTGAGGAAGGTAAGATGTTTCATTGTGAAGTTGTGTAAGTTTTATTTATGTTTGTCTATTGGTGCGACGATGACCAAATTATTATTATTACAGTGGTCCCTCGGTTAACGAGCGCCTCGGTTAACGAGATTTTGGTTAACGAGTTACCTTCCATAAGATTCTTAACTTCAGTTAACGAGCAATCCCTCGATTAACGAGTTTCTTACGAGCTGACCTCAACATGTTTTCACTTGCATTTGGCGGTCCACCAGCTGTAGTATTAGTCCGCCAATATTACATTTCCATATTTATTTCTGAGAATACATTCATTCAGTCAAGTTAAGGTAAAATATACTTGTGATGTAATATTTTAATGAAAATATCCGGTATTTAGAAATACGGTATCGTAGTTTTCTTTTGTTTCAAATTTAATTAACAAAGATTGATGTTTCAAATGTAATGAACAAAAATTTATGTATCTATAAATAAACCTTAAAAAATGAATACTTTATGTTTTTCATCGTCCTGTGCTACCATACCATGCATTTGGCTTCTTTGGGCATGCTATGATGACGCAAGAGATCTGCCCTGGCAACTGTACCGACACTCACAGCTGGTGGTGCGTCGTTTCCATTGCTTACTGGTAGTTACTGGTAAATATTTTTCAACCTAACGAAACTATTACCCATTTAGAGGTCGACCCCCAATTTTTGGCCCAAAAATTTGGTCTTAAAAACTCGAACTACACACAGGTATACAGTATACGGTAAATAAGGACATGGGGGGCCAGCAAAAATACGCGGATTCTTAACATTCACGGGTATCTCTGTTACCTAACCCCCGCGTATGTTAAGGGCCGACTGTGTGTATATATATATATATATATATATATATATATATATATATATATATATATATATATATATATATATATATATATATATATATATATATATATATATATATATATATATATATATATATATATATATATATATATATATATATATATATACACACACACACACACAATCATGCGCCGGTTAACGTCCTAGATACGTTCTTGGAAACGTGACGTTAACCGAAATGGACGTTGTCCGATCATCATATAAACTTTTTATTTATACTTACGTGTATGTGGAATACTATATACGTACTGTACATATGCACTTTTACTCTTAAATCACTATCTGTAATGTGATACATGTGATTAATTTTTATCTCTTGTGCAAAATACATGACGTTTATATTAAAATTATTCACTGTTTTACAAGGATTCCAGCAACACCAGTAGATGGGGGAGAGAGAGGGTGTGAGGGGGCGTGGGGGGAGGGGAGGTAGTACGTTTGACAGTTGGCACAGGCCCAGGTCTAAAGCGTGTATATTTATCAGTTCTTAGGTGACTAAGCTTCTCTCTTATATAAAGCCAGTGAAATGACCTGGGTGAATATAATTAACATAGCTGGGATTCTTGTAACATACTGATTTATTTGAATATAAACAGGCTATAATTTGCACTAGACAAAACAATTTTCGTACCGTAACCAAATTAGTACATGTGCACTCCAGCTTTGCACTAAGAAATCTATGTAAATCTACCCAAAAATACAGTTGAAAAACTTTTTTATAAAATGTACTATACTGTACACTAATGTACAACAATTTTTATCTCTTGAGTAAAATATATGACGTTTATATTCAAATTATTGGCTGTCTTACAAGGATTCCAGCAATGCAAATTATAATCTCCTAACTTTATTCTGAGATATTATAGAAGATAAAAACTGTAAGCCTAAAAGCCTGGCTGGGGGACTGAAGGCTCCACTCACCCAGCGAGGGGTCAGGGGTGGGGGGGTTGAGGTGATAAGTTTGAGCCGAAGGTCTCTGTGTGTTTATTTAACAGTCCTACTAAGCTTCTTTCATTTTAAAATGCTAGTGATATGACCTAGGAATATATAATTAACATAGCTGGGATCCTTGTAAGATACTGATTTATTTGAATATAAACATGTTGTAATTCGCACTAGACATAACAATTTTAGTATCGTAATCAAATTAGTACATGTGCAGTCCAGCTTTGCACTAATTTATTTTACGTTTATTTTAGTATGGTGTGCGAATGTAAATGGGTGAAAATAAATGAAGAAATTTGTGTAAATCTACCCAAAAATACAGTTGAAAAACTTTTTATAAAATGTACATTGTACACTAATTACTACATTTTTTATATCTTGAGCAAAATATATGACGCTTATATTCAAATTAATCTCTGTCTTGCAAGGATTTCAGCAATGCAAATTATATTATCGTAACTCTAGTCTGAGATATTATACAAAATAAACATAAAGAAATCACCAATCTTTTATCTTGAACACGAGGGTGGTGGGACGAAGGGGGTGGGGGGAAGGGGGCGGGAGGTGAGGTGACATAATGTCTAGCTTTTGTTTGTTTATTTATTTGAAATAAGATTTGACAGTTGGCGCTGAAGGCCTGCCTGCGTGTTTATTTATCATTACTTAAGAGTGACTAAGCTCTTCTCATAATTTTCCACCCAAACGACCTGGGTGAATATAATTTACATTAGAGGGATTCTTGTAAGATAGTAATTTATTTGAAAGTTTTTTTTTCAATTTAAATTTTAATTGTTTATTCCTTGATAGAGGAAGCGGGATCCTAGTGCTGTCACTTGGTACCCCTGTACCATAACACCAGAAGCAACTGGCCAGTGTCACAAGTATATACAGTCATCCCTTGGTTATCGCGCCTAATTGGGACCCCGTCTATAACGAAAGTACAGAACCTATGGGATTTATTTTAATTGGTTCCAGGCACCCAAGACCCAACCCCAAGTTTCCCATTTTACGACCATTTAGACCCACTAAATATATACAGTTAACCCTCACTTTACGCGGTTAATGTAACCCGGAGGGTCCCGCGTAAAGTGAGAAACGCGTAAAGTGAATAACATTACATATGGGATTAATTGAAATGGAGTCCGGGCCGATCCCCAAACTCCACTTTTTGACGACACACAACTATGTTGTCGTAAAAATATTATCTTAACTTTATGATGGTATGCACACACAATTAATAATTAAGAGAAATATCAATAATATTAGGTTTTTTAACACTTACATTAGTAGAAAAAATGGCTGGGCACACGGGGATGGGCGGTTGGTTCCGAGGCAGAGGGCAGATTATTGGCCCTCACCTGTGTCACTTGTATCAATTGTATCACTATCCACCACAGAGGCTTGCAGGGCCTCTTTGTCAAACTCCCCAAAGTCCATATAAGTCCATATCCTCACCATAATTATCACTATCACTGACTTGGGCCGGCTGTGGTGGGTGGCGGGTGAAGAACTGGTAATGTTTTGATGACTGGGCGACCTTGTGCGCACCATGTTCGCGCCGCTTACACAACATGGCGGATGGCGGGAGGTTTGGATCCAAAAATGGCGCGGCTCGCCAGCCGCTCTCCGCGTAAAGGGGTACACGCACCGCGGAATGTGAGCATCCTGGGTTCCGGCAGGGCACCGCGTAAACGTGGAAACGCGGAATGGGACTGACGTATATGCGATCGGACGTTGTTCGGTCGGACGTTAACCGGCGCATGACTGTATATACAGTATTACCCCGCTTTACACGGGGTTTTTTTACGCATTTCCACGTTTATGCGGTACCCTGCCGAACACGGAATGCTCACTATACGAGGTGTGTGTACTCTTTTACGCGGAGAACAGCTGGCGGTCCTCTCGCACCGCGCCATTTTTGCATTCAAACCTCCTGCCATCTCTCCCTCTATCCCGCCATGTTGGGTAAGCGGCGCGAGTAGGTTGCGCAGTGTATGTCTTTATTGCGTTATCGGTGACGTCATATGACGTATCGGACTGTGATTGGGCCAAACATCCTTACCTCCTTCCCCGCTAGCGGTGATTGGTTTAATGTACTATGACGTGCCCCGCCGCGGGAGCATTCAAGCCCCTTCACCTACCCGCGTCAATTACACCCCTTCAGGCTACACCGTGTATATCGGTATCTATTGTTCCATAAGAATGGCTTCCACCGGACCACCACCACCACCACCACCACAAAGAAACCTTGCATTACCTGGACCCAGTCACCCTAAGCCAAAGAAGATACGACGTTCCCTAAGCTACGAAATTAAAAACAAGATCATCCAAGAGTTGGAGAAAGGAACAAGACAGGTTGATCTCGCGCGCCAGCATAGTGTTAACGAATCTTTGATCCGGACAATTAAGAAGGATGCAGCCAAGATAAAGGAGCACATGAACATCACTAAGTCTACAGGTGCTTCTATGATCAAGTATTACCACAACCAGGTGCTTCTTAAGACCGAGAAATTACTTGTGAGCTACTTGATTTGTCAGGTGTGACGGAACATGGCGGTGGACACGCGCTCAGTTAAGGAGTTACGCACGTTAACTGTATGCTGCATTGTCACGTAAGATGGGAATTGCAGAGCCCAAACCCTTCAATGCTTCCTCTGGGTGGTTGCAGAGATTTAAGAAGAGGACCAAGATCACCAACATTAACATTGGTGGTGAAGAAGTGAGTGCAGACCGTGTTGCGGCTAGGGATTTTCCTCCGTTTTTACGTGAGATTATGGAGGAAGGACAGTACACTGACTACCAGGTGTTTAACATGGACGAATGTGGTCTGTTTTGGAAAAAGCTACCTTCCAAGACTTTCGTTGCCAGCAAGTGTCGGGGCCAGAAGTTGCAGAAGGTGCGCATGACCGTCCTGTTTACCACCAATGCCTCCGGCACCTTTAAGCTGAAGTTATCGGTGATCCACACAACACGCAAGCCGCACGCCTACAAGAGCATGGACATGACCAGGCTAAATGTGCACTGGCTGACCGCACGTAAGGCGTGGATGTTCTCTACTCTGTCCCTCTCCTGGTTTGATGACTGTTTCGTTCCCGACGTGAAAAAATTCTGTGAGCAACAGAATGTTCCATTCAAGATTTTGTTGCTGCTTGACAACGCACCAGGACACTCGCCCGT